AAACCCAGCCTGGCTGGTTGGCACAGGAGGTTTAGAGGGCCTGGCTTTCCTCCTGCATCTCACGCAGGGAACCTTCTTTAACTGTGCACGTCAGCTTTGTGCAAGTAACACTAAATGGGGGATTGGCTCTTCCTCATTCACTAGCATTTGCACCTTCTCACCCTCAAGCTTTTTGTTTCGTTGTTAAAGCTCTATGCCTAAAAACAATCCCATGGCTGATTCGAGGGAAGGACCTCATTTCATCAGTATTGTCCACCCTCAATGCTATACATAAATATAATCCTAGAGATATCTCCATAGAGATAGATATGTATCGTGCTATATGCAGATCTGCTAGATTTCTGTCTATATATTATAGCTATAGCAAACTAGATAGATGCCTCCCTGCTCCCCAGTTTATAACATTTGGATACACTTGGGGTACATTTTTGAGGGGAGATTGGTTTGGTTTGAATGTGGTTCCCCCCCACCCCCAAGTATATCTTCCCAATTTTCAAGAAAGGGAGGAAGGAGGCCTGTAAGCCACAGCTTGGTGCTCGGGAAGATCTTGGAGAGCATCATCAAGGAGCACATCTGTGGGGGGCCTGCAGGGGAGATCGTGCTCAGGGGCAACCAGCATGGGCTCATCAAAGGCAGGTCCTGCCTGACCAACCTGATGGCCTTTTATGACCAAGTAACTAAATCCTTGGATTATGGTGTTGCCATGGACGTAGTCTTTCTAGACTTTAAGAAGGCCTTTGACACTGTCTCTCACCCCATCCTCATCAATAAATTAAGTGACTGTGGCATTGATGCCTGCACAGTTGGGTGGGTAAAAAATTGGCTGATGGGACGTACCCAGAGTAGTGGTGGATGGGTTGTAGTCAAACTGGTGAGATGTGAGCAGTGGGGTACCCCAGGGCTTGGTCCTTGGGCCCGCGCTGTTTAACATCTTCATCAGCGACTTGGACGAGGGGGTGGAAAGCACGCTGTCCAAGTTTGCTGATGACCCTAAGATGTGGGGCGCGGTGGGAGAGAGAGGCTGCAATTAGATTTAGCCAGATTACAAAAGTGGGCAGATGAAAATAGGATGGGGTTCAATGTAGACAAATGCAGGGTGCTGCACCTTGGGAATAGGAGTCCACAGCATGCGTACAGGCTGGGGCGTTCCCCTCTTGAAAGCACAGAGGTGGAAAGGGATCTTGGAGTCATTATTGACTCCAAGATGAACGTGAGCCTCCAATGCCAGACCGCAGCCAGCAAGGCCAGCCATACCTTGTCATGCATCCAAAGATGCATCTCAAGCTGGTCCAGAGAGGTGATCCTCCCCTTCTATGCGACACTGGTCAGGCCGCAGCTGGAGTACTGTGTCCAGTACTGGGTGCCACACTTCAAGAGGGATGTGGCCAGCCTGGAGAGGGTTCAGAGGAGGGCCACCCATTTGGTGAGAGGGCAGCAGGACAGGCCCTACGAGGGGAGACTGAGGGACCTGAACCTGTTCAGCCTCAGCAAGAGGAGGCTGAGGGGGGACCTGGTGGCTGCCTACAAACTCATCAGGGGAGATCAACAGCAAATAGGAAGAGCCCTATTCTCCCCAGCACCACCTGGGGTGACAAGGAACAATGGTAATAAGCTGATGGAGAATAGGTTTAGGTTAGAGATCAGAAGGCAATATTTTACAGTTAGGGTGGCCAAAATCTGGAACCAACTTCCCAGGGAAGTGGTCCTCGCCCCTACCTTGGGCAAATTCAAGAGGAGGTTGGATGATCACCTGTCTGGGGTCTTGTGAACCCAGCATTCATTCCTGCCTGTGGCAGGGGGTCAGGCTAGATGATCTGTTCAGGTCCCTCCTGACCCTAGCTGCTATGAAACTGTGACTGCTAGAAACTTACTTTGATTCAGTGGAAGCTGAGGTTCTGTCATCATCGCATGCGTCCAGATCCTGGGGCTCTCGGAGCAAATGCCAGCTACCATGATACTTGTAATAAAATCATGAGTTAGCCGCGCTCTTTCATCCTTGATGCTTAAAGCTCTACATGCACTTATGGTGCTATATGAATCATAATAAAATCCACAAAACCAGAGCCTTAGAACTATTTACCCTTTATCAACACCTACGCATGCATTCAGATTGCTTTGTAAAAAAAAAAAAAAAAGGGGGGGGGGGGAAATCCTAGACTTCCCATTTTGAGCGCGAACTAGAGCTAACATGTTTTCTATTCATCAAAACATGTCAGATTTCCTAAAATAGAATAGAAACAAAAAAAAAAAAAAAATGGAATGGGGTGGGAGGGGAATCAAGTCTGCTCGTTTCCTCCTATTGTTTATTTCTTGATAAGGCATGGGGGGAAGGATAATTCTCCTGTTCTATTTATCTCAGAAAGAGCGGAGTTGACAAAAACAATAAACGAGACTCTTGATTGTTTTCCAGAACTAGGTTTTCTCCTGTGAAGTTGTTGCAGATTTCAGCACCCTCTCGTGGTGAAGATTTAAACACCTGACTCTCAAAGGCTGCCATGGAATTGCATCTGAGCTGTTCTTTGTTGCATTTAACATGCTTGCCTCTTTCCAAACCTCCCATCTTCCCCAGTCTGTTATTGAAATCAGAATCTGGCACTAATGTGCTTTTCTCATAGTTCCTGTGTTCAGATGAGTCTAACCTGACTTTTTTTTTTTTTAAACCTTTCACTCTCAAGGATAAAGAGAAGTCAGTAACAGACCAAAGGCGGTACTCCCTGATCGACCCGTCGTCGGAGTCGGAGGTTATCCGGCTGCAGCACCGGCTGGTCAGCACCGAGGACGTCCTGAGGAACGCGCTGGAGCAGGGGCACCAGATGGAGAAGCTCATGGAGGCCATGAGAATTTCTTCTGAGAAGACGCAGGTAGAGCACTTCCTCCTGCACTCGCGTGATGGGCTCTCGCACCACGCATGGCTATAAAATGGTGCTGTAGGAAGGGAGCTAGTAAGCAGCACAATTCCCTCTGACATGCATCACAGGGGCAGTGCACAGTTAGAGATGCTGTCCTTCAAATGAGGCCTAAAGCCAACCAAATGACCATCTGTGGGGTGTTAAAGACCCCCCGGCACTCATTGCAAGAGTGGGTTTTAACCCCGGTGTCCTGAGCCCAATAACAAC